TCTTTCCCTCGGCCCATCAGAAAGCTCCTTTGCTCCCAGAACAGGGCCCACATCGGTCACCATCCCCCTGCCCTGGGCTCCCTGTACCCACACAAGCCCTACAGTTTCTTCTGCACATGGCCTCAGAGGGTCACTTTTCTGCTCAGACCCTTTGATGATATCCTGTGGCTCTAAGAATAAAACTGGCATCCCTGGTGAGGAGGCCCAGGGCTCTCTGGTCTGCTCACCTGCCTCTCTGCCCTCACCTCCCCACTGCCACCTTCAGTCACTGGCTTCCTCTCTTTCTCTCTATCTATCTCTCTCTCTCTCTCTCTCTCTCTGGAACATGAACTTGCCAAGGAGACACAAAGAGACAAGAAAGGGAGAGAGAGGGAGAAAGCACCCTTCCACAGGTGCTTTCATGCACCCATAATCCCTTCTTCCCATCTCTTCCTCCTTTTGGGATTTTGGACACGCACACACTCACACTCCAGGCCTGTTTCTCAAGCTGCTAGATCCAGATCTCAAACTTCACAGGTGGCCATAAGGAATCCAGCCACCCTCACCACCACACCACAGAGCCAGCCCAGTTCGCTCTCTCTTTTGCAGACATGCTGGCCTCATTCCCCCACCCAGGGCCTTAGGTCTCACGGCTCGCTACCTAACGCCCGTTCTCAGGACCATAACATGAAGGGCAGCTCGGACACTCACACTGCAGCTCAGATGTCACCTGCTTAATGTTTCCTGACCTCCGTGTCCGAGCAGCCTCCACGCACTCCATCTCCCCATCAAGTACCTCATGTTATTTTCTTTTTACCTTTAGCACTATCTGAAACCACTTCAGGAATTTCTTCATCTTCCAATTCATTATTTATAATCATAATCACTATTTTCTGTACCCACACAGAAGCAGAAATTCAGTCTGTCTTCATCCCCAGCTTCTAAACCACACCTGGCTCAGAGACACGTCTCAGTCTGTATCAGCCATCAAGAGTTAAAGAGCCACATCATTGGTAACAAGTGGCAGTTGTTGATTTTGTCTCTTTAGCTTTCATTCTGATGGCCAGCTTTTTCATTCAAACTGACAACAATGCAGACTTTTTTTTTAAAGAGAGATTTTTGTTATAGGATGCATGTGCTCACTGGAGAGACAGAGAGAAACAGAGAGGCCGATGGTGATAAATCACCACCACAAGGGGGATGGCCATGCCATAATTCCTTCTCCTTCATATTCTCAGGATTTGGGGCATGCACATATAGGTACCCAGCGTGAGTTTTAGACCACAAGATCCAGGACTCAAACCACGGTCCATTATGTGGGAGTCCATGACATAACCATTATGCCATCTGCTGGCCCCAACAATGCAGGCATTTTGAATTGGCCTCTTCTTCCTGTGTTCTTATGTTTCCATCTTCTTTGGGCTATAAGAGCATAAAGTATAGCTTATTTCCAGAATCTTTGCATATAAACATGATTTTCTTGTCAACACAGAAAAGGCACAGTGGGGATAATAAATATGGCTTTTCTGAAAATTTATAAGTTGCCCCAACTGTCTTCTTTTTTGTTGTTTTTGGGTTTTTTTGGTTTTTTTTTTTTTAAGAGGTTTTCGCTATAGGGTACATGCGCTCGCCAGAAAGACAGAGAGAGATAGAGAGATAGAAAGCGAGAAATCACTCCCCAGGGGGAATGGCCATGCCGCAATCCCTTCTCCTCCATTCTCCTCTCAGGATCTTGAGCACGCACGCACATGCGCCCGGCATGAGTTTAAGCCACCGGGTCCGGGACTCGAACTGCAGTTACTACGTGGGAGTCCAGCGACATAGTCATTACGCCAACTGCTGGTCCCGCCCCCACTGTCTTCTAAAATTTACTGCTGTGAAGGAGTCTGACATCTTCTAACTGAGGTTTATTCTTTCTGAGTACCATGTACCCTCAGATTGAATGTTCTTGTACCTATTTTTAAATCACTGTTTAAATTAGCTGATATATTCTCATCTGTCTGTTACTAGAAATTCTGCTTTAAATATTATCATTTATTCAATCTCTGGACTGAGCAAATTTTCCCCCAGCTCAGGCAAGTTTTCAAACATTATCTTCGCTTACTGCTTCTATTTGTTATTTCTTCCTCCCGTTAGCTCTATTATTCAAAGGTTGACTCTCTTTCTACTATCTCCGTAGCTATTATATTTCTTAGCATTGTTCTCCTCCCTTTGTCCGTTTCCTAGGGTTCTGGGGGAGCAATCCCAGTGTGCCCTCACCCGGTTCCTGCCGGGTCGGTTCTCCCATTTGCTGCCACGGCCAAGATTGGCTCTGCCGTTGCTGTGTGAGTCCCTGAAGCCTTTTCCTTACGTCAGTGATGTCTACTTCCTCAGAGCTGGTACCTCAGACTATTGTTCTTTCATCCTCCTGAGTTCCTCTAATAACCTCATATACCCTATAGCTCCTGAGAACATGAACTACGCATCTTTAAATCATTTATTTCTTCCAAAAACGCACTTGTTCAAAAATTGTATTTTCTACCGTAGTCAGTGTACTCAGTTCAGAACATAGTCATTGGTTTGATTTTTCTGCACATGCATCCTCCATAAAGATCTTGTGACAGAGCCATCCCCCATGGCTTGGTGGTAAAGGGAACCACATCCCACCTGGCTGACCACACACAGTTCAAATCCCAGGCCTGGCAGCTTGGAAAACATGTGGAGCACTTGTGTATGCATGCCCAAAATCCCAACAGGATGAAGAATGGATGAGAAGACATTGCAGCACGGCTGCACCCCCTTTGGGGTGCGTTCTCACTCCCCCTCTTTCTCTTTCTAGTGAGTACATGTACCTTCTGGCAATTTTTTTTTTTTGAGAGGTTTTTGCTATAGGGCATGTGCTCTTGCCAGAAAGACAGAGAGACAGAGAGACAGAAAGCAAGAAATCACCCCCCAGGGGGGATGGCCACACCACCATCCCTTCTCCTCCATTCTCCTCTTGGGATCGTGGGCACGCACACACGCACACGCGCCTGGCATGAGTTTAAGCCACCGGGTCTGGGACTCGAACCGCGGTCGGCTACATGTGAGTTCAACGACATAGCCATTATGCTAACTGCTGGTCCCAATTTTTTTTATTTTTTTGATTAAAAAAGATCTTGTTGACAGAAGATATGCAGCATAATGTCACCTTTTGAACTGTCTCCTGCCCCGTGGCCAAATGCCCTTGGAGAGCTAGAGCTAGAAAGCAAAGTTGGTCACTCCCAGGTCCCAAAGTCAGTGCTTTGAGGTCTCTCACTGAGTGTGGGCCACCGGGCTGGGACAGCCAGAGTCTTTGACACATTTAGGGACAGTTTATGTCCTCATGAAGGGGCTTAGCTTTCCAGGTCCCAAAGTCAGTGCTTTGAGGTCTCTCACTGAGTGTGGGCCACCGGGCTGGGACAGCCAGAGTCTGACACATTTAGGGACAGTTTATGCCCTCATGAAGGGAATTAGCTTTCTTGGACAAACCACAATGCACAGAAGACGAAGTAGTGTATGTCCTCCCTCAGTCCTGCCAACAGCTTTGTACCTTTGGGGACCACACTTTTTAGGTCAAGGTGACACATCTGCCCCCTGCTCTGCCATTGTGAAGGGGCAGAGAGAAGACGACTGGTCCAGACTCAAGACAGATGAGCAACAGGCCCTGCACAAGGGGAGGACATGGGCACCCACCAGCCTTGCTGGGTTCAGTGGCTTCTTCAGATCTGGACCGGGGCCACCAAGGCCTCTTCTCATCTACCTCTGGCCGACTGAGCCACTAACAATGAAAATGTCCTCCATTGTGCTCCTGCCTCTGTCTCATTGTTGCTCAAGATAATAGAAATCCCTCCCAAGGCTAACGGTTGTTGACAATGTTCCTGTGCATTTTTTACGTTGCTTTTTGGTCATTTTCTGCCCTTTCATGTGTATTTTAAGGACAAGTTGGAAGAGAGATTAGTGGAGCTAAAATAGCCTCAGGTCACACCTACTAGACTCACTCTCTGTGAACACTGGGTAAAACAGGCCAGAGGGGGGCAGAGTAGATTGTCAGTAAGGAAACTGCAAACTCATTTAGAGTCATGGCTGAGATATTTGGGACCAGAAACTGATCAGAACCAGGCTGGGTGGATACGGTGATGGGCCGGGAAATTACAGACACTGGAGAGGAAGGGCAGCCCCCAGCCTTTTAAAGCTCAGCACACTGGAGCAAGGCCTGATGCAGATGCCACATGCTAACCGGTGACCAAGGAAGAAAGTGCTGAAATTCAGGACAGCCGCTGTCTGCAGGACTGACAGGCTGATGTGGAGCCATCAAGGATCAGGGGGTTGGCCAGGCTAGGGTCTCCCTTCCAGGAGAGTGCAGGGTAGAGCTGAGCTCTCAGCTCACCAGCACCTGGGTAGGCCTCAGAGGAGGTGAGACCAGACTCTGCACCAAGTCTGGGCCCTCAACATTGTGTGAACTCCTCAGCACATGATGGTCCTAGTCAC